GTTCTAACATTTGTCTGAAATCTTTTCTTTATTTCGATACCGTCCACAGGCCCCAGATATTGAAGATCCCTCGACCGTGCTGCAACCCGTTATAACGTTACCCATAGAGACACTCCGAAAAGTCTACACGATTGACAACCCACCCCCTCCACCCGATAGTGTACACCCACCCTCAGTACGAACACCCGCCGCATCCACTGCAACACAAATAAACGAGGTATGTATTGATATGTATACATGTATATATGTATAAAGGTATATATGTATACATGTATGTATGGAAAGGTTTGATTATAGTCATGAAGTCTGTCATGTAGTGTTATATAGTGGTACCTAATATAAATAGATAGGATATATACAATATGGGGGGGGTTTTTTTTTTGAGATTGTCTGGATAAATGATATGTATACGTACCGCATTAGATACAGCTTTAACAGAAGGTATGTACGGACTGGTTCTGATAAGGACGTATATGATTTGTATGGAATGTATTCATATGAATTGGTTCTGATATAGGAACGTATTCATATGAATTGGGTCTGATATGGACCCATATGATTTGTATGGAAGATATTCATATGAATTGCGTCTTATATGGACCTATATGATTTGTATGAAAAGTATGTATAAGGCTGGTTAACTTCACTGTTTGTGCACACGCAAATCCACTACGCACATCCGTGGCAGCCACCACTGCACACATGAGTATCGATTCAAGTTTTGTTTTGGAGGGTAAGGGTGTTAGCTTCTACGTACGTTTTGGCAAGGGCTTTATATGGGCAGATGGTAGCCATGGGTATGACAGATATTAATGTCCTGTGCATATCATCGAGGTATGGGGGCTGGTGTTTATATGACAGGTATTCTTGGAATAGTTAAACGTTTTATTGTTACACCCCCTGCCCTGCGGATATCGCTGAGCCGTGGGAACCGGCTAGTTCTGCGCAGTTGTTGTTGTGTACTGTGTGTTGGATATGTCGACATAGTGACCGCATATACTAGAACCATGAATACATGACTATTCTATTCATTTATGACTGAATTTCAGCAGTAACCCCGAGATATATTGACACCTGACACCTTTTTAGGGTCCTCAAACTCTAAAACCCTGCACCCAACCCCCTTGCCCAATACCCACAGAACTGTGACAATCTAATAAGCGGACAACACGACAACAAGAAATCAGACCCAATTGACGGTTGGACCGCATTACTCGCACGCACACCATTGCCTCCTGGCGGATGGTTCAATGCGCCGGCGCGTGTGGGAGAGGTAGACGAGACCTTAGTACCGAACATCATGTTTGATATAGATGAGATGCCGCCCGCGCTTATGAACGGTAGGGGTGCATAGGATTTA